TGTCCACTCCTGCCAGAGAACTGAGGCCCCCACACTAAAAGCCAGCCTGTGGAGTTCTTCAGGCTGCTGTTCCCCTCTGCAGTCACATCTCCCTGTAGAGGCATTTGGACTTGCCAGCCATCACATTCACTGTGACTGTGTATCCCCTGGTTTCAGCAGCTTTTCTAACATGGTGATTCTAGCTCCAGGTGAGTTTGCTGCCAGCTGTGGGCTTCAATTTTAACTTTACAGTCATCTAGGGTCATGGAGATCCAATTCCTTCTTTCTTGTCTTCCCCAATAATGCTATATTCAGACATATGTTCTGTTTCTCTCAGAGAGGGTGTTTACTCTGCTGCTTACTGTTAATCAATCTTCCCAGATCCTCTCAAATGAAAATTCTACAAAATTTGGAGCAAACACATTAATACCTTTTAAATTGTGGATATTGTGAATTGTCTACCAATTGCTTGGTGCCAATTGTGTACAGGGGCAGGATTCATTCCAAGCAATTTCTACCAATCTGCTCATAGTTAGGAGTTGTTGAATGAAGCCAGCTTTAGATATGGCTAACAACTGTTACTAAGACCCATTCTTTCAGTTATAGCATCTTGATGACACTGGCCATTGTTCTTCTGGACTTAGGTGAGTTTACATGCAGCTGAAAATTGTGTCTCTGCCACATTTTGGAATTAAGGTTGAATTGCAATGAAAAGAAATATTTCACACTTTGTATCAGATTTCCTCACTCTTTAGTTGTCCTTGTGTTTTCCTGTGTCTTTATTTTGGCCCTTGTCTGAAGAGTCAACTGCTGAAGGACAGCAGATATCCTCCGAGAGTACAATATACCTTTGCTGAACTTAAAACAACTTTGGGTCTTTGATATTTCTTGTACTTCAACCCAAACTGGTGTGAGCTCTTATGATAACAGGGGAGGACTGCTGAAATTTGTTGTCCAAAGTCAGTAAGGAAGTTTTCACAGACAAATAAATTTTGTGTCCTTGGTTCCAAAGGGATATAAAGAAGACATCTTTAATATCTATGACAGAGAGCCATTTGCATGAAGCTGGGATTAGGGTGAATAAGTTATAACATTACATTAATGAGATGGAAGTCCTGTACCAATCTCCTTAGGCTGAACATTTTTTTTTACCCCAATAATATGACTGTTATAAAAGCTGTTTTGTTTTTTTTTTTTTTTTTTCTTTAAGGGGCCTCTGTATTACAGGTCACTAGGAAACATTTCTTAGGCCTCCTGAAGCTCTTGATGATAACAATTAGGAAGGATCTTTCAATAAATCCAAATAGGAAAGACAGTCCTGTTCTCATTCTCTCTCCACATGGAAGGGCCATTCATAATCCTAGCAAGGGAAACATTAGATAGCCTCTATCCTAGTGAGAACAAGAGTTCTCCATGGCTTGCCCAAGAATTGTCTACACAGAAGTACAGTAGGGGTGTCTGGAATTCTAAAAAATGTGTGGCTGAAATGTACTTCAACACAAGAAATAGGCCATAGCCTTACAGAAATCTTCTAAGGGGTGTCCTGAGACTCCAATAAATACGTTAATTTTAGAGTGAATGTCATGGGAGTAAATAATGAGGTAAGTTAGTGACAGTACCAAATTCAGAAATTAATAGATAATCCCCAGACACACAAATAGAGATTTTTAAGACCTGCAATTGGTAAATAGAAGTTAAAGTATCCATGATATGATATGTCCCTTATCCCCTGAACTGAGAGATCTTCACCAAAAAATCTCTATCATTGGAACCAGTGAGCAGGCTGAGGCATAGATTCTAAAATATTGACCGTAAAGTGGACATGGTGACACACATTTTCATGTGTATTTGAAAAACCTGCTTAAACCATTGCTGGTAATAAATCATTTGTGGTGTACTTTCTGATTAGGAAGGTTAAGGAGGAATTAAGTGGCCAAGTGCAGAAGAGTTATGAGGCCTTCTCTGATGAAAAGGCTATAATTAACTATGCAGCACCAATAGTCTGATATGAGAGAGAAGATTATTGCTGCATGAATTAGGCCCATTCAGATTTTCCTTCTAACTCAGGTAGTAATCCAAGGGACACAGAAACTATTTCATTTTGCTGTACTATTGTTGCTTCTCAAGCTTTTCTCTGGGTTCTTTGTTCTGTCTACAGTGAAGAAATGAGGAAATGAGGCAAAAGCACTGCCCTTGTCTCAAAACCAGTGTGTCTGGTAGAAAATCAGAAAGTTAGGATTGATGTAATGAGTGTCAAGGTTTATTCATTGTGTGGCAAATGCAGAAAAATTGCTGTGTTAGCTACAGACTGGACTGTAAAAAGGATGTTTGTCTCATTGCCAAGTTGGTTTCTGATATATTCATTTGAGTAATCTAGTTTAAAAAAATAACATTTGCTGGTTGATGCACGTCCAGGCCAGTCAGGCTCTTAGCCTTTGTCTCTGCAGAGCAAAAAAGATTTAGGTCTCAAACACACTGTAAATGCATGTGAGAGTTCTATAAGGGACAGATAGTGCAAGCAAATGGGACACAATAAACATGAGATGTGCATGTAAAATTCCATTCCTCACCATGCAGTGAGTGGGAGGTTTGATGAGAGACTCATGACAGATGTGTGAGGTTTCAGTGAGGGTGAGACTGCTGTGTTTTGTGCTGATTTTTCTACCAGCATCAGATAGCTATTTTGTTTTATATCTGCAATATCTTCTAAATGTCACACAACCTTGCAAACTGATTGGATTCAATGAGCCCTCTCTTCTTCAGTGATTTCATTCACTGTTGATTTCAGTATCAGAATGTGAGGTTAGGAGAAAGGGAATTTTTGGAGGCATATCACTCAGGGCAGGACCTGGAAAAGTGTATTCTTGTTTGCAGATCCTTCCACCTCTGCCCCCATCCATACTGCCTTGACTTAAACATCCTTCCTTCACCTTTGCATTTTATCAACTACTTTGGGCTTTGGATCCAATAGACAAGTTTTTGAACTTGTAGAGCAATATAAATTCCTCTGAGTGTATTTTATACTTTGTCTCAGTAAAAGAATAGGAACTGTGATAACTAATTAGAGTATGCTGAATTTGTTAAAAGTTTAGATACAGGTTCCAAATGAAAACTGTGAATAGTGTTCTCTCCCCTATCCAGCAATGTGGCCCAGATATTAAGAACAAAAAACAAAAGAAAGAAAGATTGGAAGTTCCCAAGGATCTGGGATTACCAGTTGTTCTTACTGGGAAAGGGACCATGAATCAGAGTGCCCAAGACTTTTATGAGTACTGATTGGGAAGTAGGCATGGGTTATAGCATAGTGCATGGAAGGAAACCTTTACAGGCATGGCTTGTATTATGGAAGCAAAGCAGTCTTTTACCAGGCAACAGGCTCCCCAATTAGTGGTGCAAGAGACAACTTGATGTGGGAAAGGCTGGCACTTTTACTGCCACAAATCTATAATTCTTTTTGAATCTCATAGATTCATATTTTTACCCTGGGATCTAACATCAATTTGGACAACAAATTTTCACTGGAAAAATGAAGGATGAAAATAATGTCTAAAGAACAACTTTCATAAGGGTTTGAGTAATAAACACAAACTGAATCTCTTGAGGTAGGGCATTCTACATATGCCTTGTGTATGCCTTGTAAAAGTAGGAAAAACAAGTTTTTCACACAATTGCTATGGTGCATGAGTAGGTTGTAGATATTATTTCAAAAAATGAAAATTCTAGCTTGGTCTGGTGCCACATGAGTGTCATCCTAGTATTCAGGAGGCTGATGTAGGAGGATTTTTAGGTGTTCAATTTCACCCTCAGCTACAGAATAATTTCAAGGCAAGTCTTACATACAGGGGAATAACCTGTCTCAAAAACAAAAACCTGATATACTGAAGGAGGTAGGACAAAATGTAGAAGCAGTATTACAGCAGGTGAAAAGTGCCAATTGTAGGTCTGCAGACATGTCAGTAGTTAAATGGAGAATGGTATTCTGCCTAGGAAGGGCACATGAAAGTACATACAACATGGGAAAGCAGTGGATGGTGGTGGCAGGCAAAATCAGCTCCTGAAGAAGGAATTTCCCTCTGAAAACTGCCTAGTGTGGAACTGAACTATGAGCTCTGTGCTAGGGAACTTGGAAAGTGATTCACATATATAGGCTGAAAGAAAGTTATAACTTTAAATCATTATATATGCAATTCTCTTGTTGCTACTACATTCAACTAATCAATGATAAGTTAATAGTAAATTTTTTTTAGCTTAAAATTCCTTGAGCAACATTATCTCTGTAATGGAGATAGTTTTTCACAAAAATAGGCAAAATTAAAAGGTATTTGTTTTGTTGGTAGGAATTGAGCTCAGGAACTTCTTCTAGAGAATAACCTGAGCCTTTACATCTTGACTTGTCATTATTTGGAATTTTGTCACTTATTCTCAGTATATAGACCAGGCTGAGCTTGAAGTCCTTTTACTCCTGTCACAGCTTTGCAGAATAATATGATCACAGTTGTGTGTAAAAATATATTATTATAATAGTGCACAGTTAAATTCAGCATATATTATAATTTTTGTGTCCAAAATGTTGTAATTTTTGTTGTTGGGAATATGCAGTGACCATTTTGAAAGGCATTCTTGGTGGCTTCTTTCTCTCCATAAGTTTCTGAATTAGAGATTTAGGTGTGTTGTATAACTTTTATTGGAGTGCAGATTGTAACACTACGATAATTTTTCAAGCTGTAGTTATGTCCAGTCCTTTTTGTCATAAGCCACCACGAAGCAGCTTTTTTTGTTATTATGCTTCATTTTTTAAGCCAGAGTCTCATGATGTAGATCAAGCTGATTGTGAACTTGTTCTATAGCTCATAATGATCTTGAAGTCATGATGATCTTCTTGCCCCAGCCTCCTGAGTGCTGGGATTACAGACATGTACCACCACACTTCATTCTCAGTTAAAATTTTTATGAGACAGGTTCACATAGTCCAGGCTGTTAATCTCAATTTTTCTTCAAGAAATATGTGTATGATCCTCTAGGGGTCAGTGACCTTTGAGGATGTGACTGTGAACTTCACCAGTGAGGAGTGGACTTTGCTGAGTGCATCCCAAAAGAAGCTCTACAGAGATGTGTTGGAGGAAACTTTTCAGAACATTGTGACTCTAGGTAAGAATGAAATCTCTTTCGTATTGATACATTCAGAAGAGATTGTTTTGTACTCTTCAGTGCAGTGTAATTAAACAGAATGTGAAAACAATTAGAATTAATCTGGCCTGCTTATATTCTATCATGAATTTAATTGGTTTGTGTTAATTTTTAATGTAATAATGTAGTGATTACTTTTATTTATGTGTCTATAATGCAGAGAGACTCTTGGATAACCAGAAAGTGGAAGAAGACTGCAATAACTATTGCAGAAATATAAGGTAATTTGTAGAAAAATGTATACTCCTTAACACAACACAGAAGGAGAAACATGAAAATCAAGAAAACAACACTATCTTTAAATTTAATTTCATCAGTACTCTCGAAAACTATATGCAACCTGAATTGTACAGTTTGAAAACCAAACACAAAAATATTCCAAAATAAGAAATGCAATTACAAGTGAAATCATACAAATAACACTATCAAATTTGTAATATAAAAAATGTTGCTTTATCATCAACGTCATGAATATGTATGACATTTTCTTTAGGTGTTTTGTATAGCTGTAGTTAAGAGAACATACGAAAGGAAATTAATATTTTAGAGATGGGGAAGAAAAATGGGATAAGAGTAGAACATGAAGAGTGAATAGGAAATGGTATTAAAATTAATCAATATGTGTTACATATGTTATTGAAAACAAAACTAAAATTAGTGTATTATAAAATGTACCAACTGAAAATTTTTGAAAAATACCACTTTTTAAGGAAAAGCTTTCTCCAAAGAATCCATGTTGTATTCTTTTAATTTATAATCAAATTTCTTAGCATGCATTAAAAAAGCACGTGCTCTATTAAATCATTGATGTGGAGAGCCATTTTATATTGTCATCTTTATCTTTTACAGGAATGAAGACACTGAGAAATGCCAGCAGTGTAAAGGTTGGAATCAGCATAAAGAATGCTTCCTCTGTAATCAAGATGCTAATGTCTATATGAAATCATGTGGTTTAAAACCAATTGAAAGGCTTTCTTGTACAAAGCTTCAGATTGGGCCTTTTGCACTAAACATGTCCATTAGAGCTCACTGTGGAGTAAAAACAGATGAGTATTTTGAACCTAAAGGGAAGCTGTTTAAATGTAATGAAAATAGAAACAACTGTGATGATTTGCAATCCTTTCAGAATCATGCAAGGACAGAGGCTGGCAAGAAACAATGTGAACATGATCAGTGTGAGAAATCCTGCTCTGGTCTTAGTGAAAGAACTCATCTTAGAGACAAGATATTTGTATGTCCAAAAAAGTTTAATGTCTCCAGCAAACCCAGGGATGTTCAGATCTATCAGACAAACCACAAGGGGGATATAACCTCTGCAAGTAACCAGTGTGGGAAATTTTTCAGCACAGATACTATTTCTCAACAAAAAGAAACAATTCAGATGGAGGAGAAAAAGTATGTTTGTAAGCAATGTGGGAAAGCGTTTAGTATACAGAGGAATTGTAAAAGACATGAAAGAGCTCACACTGGTGAGAAACCTTATGTATGTAAGCAATGTGGGAAAGCTTTCAGTAAACAGGATCACTGTAAAAGACATGAAAGAACTCACACTGGTGAGAAACCTTATATATGTAAACTATGTGGGAAAGCTTTCAGCACACAGAGTTATTGTAAAGTACATGAAAGATCTCACATTGGTGAGACACCTTATGTATGTAAGCGATGTGGGAAAGCTTTCAGCACACAGAGTTCTTGTAAACTACATGAAAAATCTCACACTGGTGAAAAACCTTACATATGTAAGCAATGTGGGAAAGCTTTCAGCACACAGAGGAATTGTAAACTACATGAAAGATCTCACACTGGTGAGAAACCTTATGTATGTAAGCAATGTGGGAAAGCTTTCAGCACACAGAGTTATTGTAAGCTACATGAAAGGGCTCACACTGGTGAGAAACCTTATGTATGTAAGCAATGTGGGAAAGCTTTCAGTAAACAGGAACATTGTAAAAGACATGAAAGAACTCACACTGGTGAGAAACCTTATGTATGTAAGCAATGTGGGAAAGCTTTCAGCACACAGAGTTATTGTAAAGTACATGAAAGGTCTCACACTGGTGAGAAACCTTATGTATGTAAACAATGTGGGAAAGCTTTCAGCACACAAAGTTATGGTAAACTACATGAAAGATCTCACACTGGTGAGAAACCTTTTGCATGTAAGCAATGTGGGAAAGCTTTCAGCTCACAAAGTTATTGTAAAGTACATGAAAGATCTCACACTGGTGAAAAACCTTATGTATGTAAGCAATGTGGGAAAGCTTTTAGCACACTGAGTGACTGCAAACTACATGAAAGGACTCACACTGGTGAAAAACCTTATGTATGTAAGCAATGTGGAAAAGCTTTCAGTAAACAGGAGCATTGTAAAAGACATGAAAGAATTCACACTGGTGAGAAACCTTATGTATGTAAGCAATGTGGGAAAGCTTTCAGTACACAGAGTTATTGTAAAGTACATGAAAGAACTCACACTGGTGAGAAACCTTATGTATGTAAACAATGTGGGAAAGCTTTCAGTACAAAGATAAATTGTAAATTACATGAAACGTCTCACACTGGCAAGAAACATTATGTATGTAAGCATTGTGGGAAAGCTTTCAGCACACAAAGTTATGGAAAACTTCATGAAAAATCTCACACTGGTGAGAAACCTTATGTATGTAAACAATGTGGGAAAGCTTTCAGCACACAGAGTTACTGTAAACTACATGAAAGATCTCATACTCTTGAGAAACCTTATTTATGTAAGCAATGTGGGAAAGCTTTCAGTACAAAGAGTTATTGTAAGCTACATGAAAAATCTCACACTGGTGAAAAATCTTATGTATATAAGGAATGTGGGAAAGATTTAAGCACAAAGAGTGATTGTAAATTACATGAAAATTCTCACACTGGTGAGAAAACTTATGTATGCAAGCAATGTGGGAAAGCTTTCATCAAACAGAGATATTGTAAAGTACATGAAAGGTCTCACACTGGTGAGAAACCTTATGTATGTAAGCAATGTGGTAAAGCTTTCAGCACACAGAGTTATTGTAAAGTACATGAAAGATCTCACACTGGTGAGAAACCTTATGTATGTAAGCAATGTGGAAAAGCTTTTAGTACACAGGTGTGTTCTAAAAGACATGAAAGATCTCACACTGGTGAGAAACCTTATGTATGTAAGCAGTGTGGGAAAGCTTTCAGTATACAGAGGAATTGTAAAAGGCATGAAAGAACTCACACTGGTGAAAAACCTTTTGTATGTATGCAATGTGGGAAAGCTTTCAGTACCAAGACGAATTGTAAAGTACACGAAAGATCTCACACTGGTGAGAAACCTTATGTGTGTAAGCAATGTGGGAAAGCTTTCAGCACACAGAGTTATTGTAAAGTACATGAAAGATCTCACACTGGTGAGAAACCATATGTATGTAAGCAATGTGGGAAAACTTTTAGTACACAGGACTATTGTGAACTCCATGAAAGATCTCACACTCATGAGAAGTCTTATAAATATAAGCAATATGGGGAAAGGTTCAGCAGAATCCAGAATCCAGGAGAAACTATACACATGTGTGAAAGTTGATAAAGCTTTCAGTACACATAATTATTGTCAAATACATGAAAGAATCCACAGTGTAAAAACCATATGTATAATAACTAAATTCAGCAATGTAGCTGGAAACAAAATAAATACTCAAAACCACTAGCATTTCTGTATACTAACAACAAAATGACAGAGAGAAAAATAAGAGAAGCCACACCCTTCACATTAGCAACCAAAAAATAAATATTTAGGAATAATTCTCACTAAAAAAGTGAAACATTTATATAGGGAAAATTATAATACACTGAAAAAAGATATTGAAGAGAATCTCAGAATTGGAAATACACACCTTGCTTATGGATAAGAAGAGTAAGTATTGTGAAAGTGGCCATTCTCCCAAAACTCTTACACAGATTCAATCCAATCTCAGTAAAAATACCATGAAAACACCTCATAGATCTAGACAAATCACACTTAAAATTCATCTGGAACCCGAAGAGAGCTAGAATAGCAAAGACAATTTTAAGCAGCAAAGGCAAGGCAGGAGTCATCACAATCCCTGACTTAAAGTTATACTACAAAGCAACTGTAGTAAAATCAATGTGGTACTGGAATCAAAACAGAGCTGAATGAATAGATTAGAAGATACAACCACAACTGTAAACACACTAAACCATCTTATCTTTGATAAAGAGGTCAAACATGTTCACTGGAAGAATGATAGTCTCTTTATTAAATGGTGTTTGAAAAACTTGCTCTCCGTATGCCAAAAACTAAAGCTAGATTCATGCGTATCTCCATGTACTAAATTAAAATCTAAGTTCTTCAAAGATCTGAATATAAAAAAAGAAACATGAAATCTATTGGAAGACAAATTGAGTAAAAACGTTGAAGACATAGAGGTAGATAGAGAATTCATGAACAGGAATCGAACTGCCTGAGAAGTACTTTCCAGGGTCAATAACTGGTATTTCTTTTTATGAAAAAGTTTCTGCACATCAATAGAAATCTCTAGCATAGTTAAAAGAAAACCTACCAACTTGGAATCAATCTTAGGGAACTGTCTTTCAGGCAGAGGGCTTCTGTCTAAAACATATAATGAATTGAAAGAAATGAGGCATACCAAAGTGACATATGTGCACCTATGCTTATAGCAGTGCAATTTGTAATTGCTAGATCATGGAAACAACCCAAATGTCCGTCAACCGAGGAATGGATAAAAAAGCTGTGGTACTTCTATGTAATGGAGTACTACTCAGCTATAAAGAAGGATCACATTGAGCTATTTATCAATAAATGGGCACAGCTTGAAACCATACTCATAAGTGAACTAAATCAAGCTTGCATCTGTGAACTCCAAATAGTTTCCCTAGTGTAGGAAATGAATCAAATATATAAATGTACGTGATAACCATGATTCCCCATTATATGGTCTTGAAGCCTTATAAAATTGTCACTAATTACTTGGAATGGATTTATTCTGGGCTGTTTGATATCATGGTCGGTGATGCAATGAACAGCCACTTTGAAGAAAATAAGACATAATAACAGCTAGTGCTGATTTAATAACATCTTGTCTTAAAGATGTACCAAACTATGGTTCTTTTGTCTCCATTGATTTTATTATGTTGTAACTTGCTGGACTTTATCGTATGTGGTAGTATAACCAAAAATTGTTACAGGCAAAGAGATAATATTGAAACCATTGATCATTTTTTTCTGTTAGCTGGTTCTAAATACTGTACAATGCTTTCATCCACTTGAATGGTGTTACACAGTCTTGATATATTTGATGCTACAGCATAAGAAGTTATATTCAGATATTTCAAAGAAAAAGACACTATGGTAACTACTATTAAGTCGGGTTATTTGGTGGTGAAGCACTAGGTTGCTGAAAGTGTCATGCTTTAACCTGTATTATGTTGTTATGCCCCCTTTAATCCTCTCCCTTATTCATTAAAAAATCATTTAATTTAAAAAAAAATATATCAACCAATAAAAAAATGCTCCTGGTTCTGTAGGGAAAAAGAAACCCTTTACAACTGTTGGTTAGAGAGTAGATTAGTACAAACACTGTGGAAATCAGTGTGGAGATTCCTCAAAAAATTAAGATTAAAGGTCCCATTCATCCCAGGTAGTCCCCTTCTGTGTATCTTCCCAGAGGGATTGAAAAACATCACACCACAGTGACATATGTGAAGCCATAAGGTTCAAAATATACAATAGTCACTGTGAAATGGAAGGAAACTTCAATAAAAAGAAGAAGCTAAGATAGGGGAAAAGAGAAAGGATAGAAGGGAAAAGAAAAAAAATGCAAGTTAGTTATACCATTAGTGTCACTTAGTTCACTGAACAGGAAAGGTTGTGCTAATATTGATTGAAGTAATTTTTATGCCCATATTTTGTACTTGAGTGACTAAAGATAATGTGTAATTTATCAACAATTGTTACTTTTTCATTATTTTGTTGTAAAAATTTGTTTTACCTTTTCTTCTTAATATTAATAAATAAAGTAAAAAAAATGAGGCATCCAAAATTTGAAGATCCAATCCAAAAATGGTCATCTGAGATGAATACACAATTCTCAGATGCAGAAACAAATGGCAAATAAATATGTGAAAAAAATGTTCATCACCATTAGAGAAATGAAATTAAAACCACATTGAGATTCCGTCTCCTGAAAGAATGGCCAGGATCAAGAAAACTATCAACAACAAATGCTGGAGAGGTAGTGTGGAAAAAGGAACTCTCCTGCAGTGTTGTTTGAAGTGTAGACTTGTACAACCATTGTGGAGGTCAGTCTGCAGATTTTTCAGAAAGCTTGAATTGGAGGTCCCCTTTGTTCCAGCTATTCCTCTTCTACACATATTCCCAGAAGAAATGAAAACATCATACCACAGTGATGTATGTGCACCCATGTTTATAGTAGCACATTTTGTACTAGCCAGATCTTGGAAACAACCTAAGTGTCCATCAACTGAGGAATGGATAAAAAGGTTGTGGTATTTTTATACAATGGATTACTTCTCCGCTATGATCACACTGAGATATTTATAAAAAAATGGACATACCTTAAGACCATACTCATAAGGGAAATAAATCAAACTCAAATTTATAGATATCTAATAGTTTCCCTAGTGTAAGAAAAGAATATATAAAAGTATGTGGTAATCATGATTCCCCATAATATTGTTTTGAAGCTTTATAATGTTTTCATTCATTAATTGGAATGGTTTCATTCAGCATTTTATTTATTTTATTTTCTGTGATGGTATGAACAGTTATTTTAAAGAAAACAAGACATTATAATAGCTAGTGCTGATTTAATACCATCTTGTTTTGAAGTCTCACCAAGCTTTTGTTCTTCTGTCTCCATCAGTTTTTTCATGTTGTATGTTATTGGATTTTATTTTATGTGATAGTATAAACAAAAGTTTTTATAGGCAAGAAGATAATGTAGAAACCATTGTTCATTTTCTGTTAGTTGGTTCTTAATACCCTGTAATACTTTGATTCTTTTGAATCATTTTACACTGTCTTTTTATATTTGATACTATAGTATATGATGGTATACTCAAAGGTTTCAAGGAAAGAGACATTATGGTAGCTACTGTTATGTTGGGTTTTCTTGTATTGAAACACTATGTTGCTTAAATTGTTCTGTTCTGACCTGTTTTGTTATGTCCTCTTTTATCTTAATCTTTTTTTAAATAAAAAATTAAAACAAACCCTATATATGCAAGCAATGTAGAAAGGGTTTTTCTAAGTCTTAATTACATACACATTATGAAGGTAATTGAGGAGAAGCCCTATTTCCATAAACAATGTGAAAGAAGATTCTGTGCACACAAGTACATGACTATATATATTTATTTCAAATCAAAAAGCATCATGGGAAGAAACTATATATCTAAGCCAATTTGGAAAATGCCATAAAGTTGTTTCATTTAGTGAAATTCTGTAGAAATAATACAAAGCATTTTATGTCAGTGTTTCCTCACAAATGTTCCAAAGAAAACATCCCAGATGAAGATATGAGAAACTACATACATTGTGTGGTTCTTAATATATCACAAATATAGATTATCTATGTGCAGTATTTAAAAATATTGAGTTCCCTGAGTGTATGAGCTTAGTCTGTAATGTCTTAATGAAACATAGTTGATCCAAATGTACTTTTTACTTTCAAGTACCATTTACACTTCATGCTGTTTTTATTTTATCCTTAATATTGGGAGAAATAGGCCATTAAAAATCTTATTTTTGTAATTTTTACCATTAGAATTTTACACCATTGTTTTTTTAAGTTTTGGGGTTTCTGTATTCTGTGTAGCAAGGAACATTTTTTATTTGATGCTATATTTTCTAATGATACCTATTTTCAAAGACATGCCATCATGAGTTTTTGACAAAGTTGAAGTCTGTTCACACAACTTGTATATTAGCAAATTTTGTTTTTCATATGACCTGATACGATTCCTGCTTTTATACCAACAGTGATGTATAGTGTGTCATGTACATATGTTGCATCTTTTTCTTTCAATATATTCATTTCCATAAAGTTTTATTTTTTCACATAAAATTTTTTATGTTTATATTGCAATGGCTTAATTTGCTTTACTGGTATTTTTTAAACACAGATACCAAACATAGACTATATTGCTCTGTTTTCCATTGCCAAGATCCCACTGTTGTAGAATTCAAGATATCAGATCTCAGGGATTGTTCCTTAGAACCTGGCTGGGGGCAATCCAGGGAATGGAAACAATCAGCAATTTATAACCATCTTGAAAGAAGACAGAATTTAGGAATCCTGTAAGAGCAAGATGACATAAACTCTTCACAGTACATAGCTTTCAATCTTGCCTCTAGCAGAGCAGTAACACATAGATTTAGTTAAAGAGAGGAACTTTGGGGGAGATTCAGCTCTAAGTCCCATTTCAACAACACATGACCATAAGTTGTCTTTACAGGAAATCATTATTTACAGTAATCTTTCTAGAATATATAAATTATGGTATAAGACCCATAACAACACTTTCAATGCAGAATTCATCTTGGAACTTTTCTCTGGATTATGGTTGCTTCTGAATGTTATGAGATAATGTCTTTGTTCTCTTTTTTTTTCTGGTACCTGGGATAGAACTCACGACCATGCGCATGCAAGGCAGGTGCTAGTGCCGCTGAGCTAAATCCACAGCCCCAATCATGCCTTTGTTCTATTCTATGATGCTTTGATGACATAATATCTTTGGGAATAATTGTTTTTAAGTAGGAAGCTATAATATTGACATGAAGGAATATTGAAATGAGGACCAAAGTCCTCACATATATCAATCAACTCATTAAAAATACAAATATCTGAAATCGTTATTTATACTGTGTTCTTGTCTATTTTTGGATACATTTCTATGACAGTATTTTTTATTAATGATAAGGTCACTCCTCTAGTGTTTTTCTAATATTTTTACAGAGGGTAAAATTAAACATAACAAAGCACATTGTAAGATAACAATGTAAAAGACACAGATTTTAAAGCAAGAAAACTGGAGATCTTCACTGTCTATCATTATGTCTCTTTTTTTCTTCCAAATAGTTGTCCATATCTTCATATATAATGAATTCATACAAAGCACAATAGTATAGAACTGATCAGAACTGGATGATGAAGGCATTTTAGTTTTTCAAGACCAGATAATAAAGAAGTCAACAATAGCTGCCCTAATGTCTCTCATTCTTTTTAAAATAGCTGTACATACTTTCATATATATTGAAATTAAACAAAACAAAGCAGACTAAAATCTCTGAAAACAGCATAATAGTATCATTGGATTTCACATTATGACACTGGAACCTGCACTGGATACCTTAGTGTCTCTTTTTCTTCAAAGTAGCTGTTCATTTCATCATGCATTATATTATCACTTCTCAAGCATTTTAGAAGTTCTAGGGATACATAGGTATAAAGGTATACCTATCCTTTCTGTAGTAGAGGGAAAAACAAAACAAACCAAGACACAACAAAACAAATTCCTAGAGAAATATGAATCAAAGATGTAAAGAACAATAACAAAGCATCCAAAATGATGACAGTTCAGGCCTTAAAAACAAGGCATAACTGGGGTTTCTATTTCACATAATGATCTTCACGAGTTCCTCACATCACTATACAATAACATGCACAACTGTTCCAATCATATGAATCAAATGAATGTTAAATATTTTGTTCCAAGAACTTATGAATTTGTAGCAAAATCATCTTAGCTATCCTAAGTGTGAGTATATAATCTTAGACATTTTTCTTTTCCCTTCCTTTTTCTTTTTCCTGCTTTTCCCTGAGATGTTGTTTTTTCCTTGTAAGCAAGTTCTTATCTGTTCACTATAATTATTGCATTTTTATGTACTCATCATTTTTGACACTAAGGAAACTATAAGGTATTTAAACATGTGTGTTTGATTTATTTCAGTTATAAGTATGGTTTCTAGTTGCACACATTTAATTGTAAATCTCTCAATGAGATCATTCTTTATAGCAGAGTAGTACTCCATTGTATAAAAATACCACAACATTTTATCCATTCCTCAGTTGATGGGCACTTAGGTTGTTTCCAAGATCTGGCTATTATAAATTTTGCTGCTATAAACATGCATGCACATATACCACTGTGGCATGGTATTTTCAGTTCTTCTGGGAATATGCCAAGAAGTGGGATAGCTGGATCAAAGAGGACTTCCCAGCCCAGTTTTGGAGGAACCTCCAGGATGACCTCGACAGTAGTTGCACCACTCTACACTCCCATCAACAGTGCAGAAGACTTCCTTTCTCCACACACGTTCTCCAGAAATTGTTGTTGCTAGTTTTTATAATCCTGGCCATTCTTTCTGGAGTGAGATGGAACTTTGTGTTGTATTAATTTCCATTTCTCTGTTGACCACTGATGATGAACATTTTTCATATATTTATTTGCCATATGTATTTCATTTGAGAAGTGTGTATTCGTCTCAGATGCCCATTTTTGGAATGGGTCTCAATTTTGGGGATCTGATTTTTTAAAATCTTTATATATTCTAGACAGAACTCCTTTTTCTGAGGGACCATTCACTAAGTTTTTCCCAATTTGTGGATTTTCTTTTGGCTATGCTGAAGATTTCTTTCAACATGCAATCACAGTTTAATAGGGCCCAATCCCAGTTCATGATTCTCTAAAGTATTTTTCATGCAGATTGATCTTGTTCAGGAATTTACTATATACTCCTGTCTCAAGATTTTTACCTAGTTTGTCTTCCAACAAAGGTAGTGTTTCTGTTTAATATTCAGATCTTTGATACATTTTGATATTAGTTTAATACACGGTATGGGTAGGCATGGGTCTAGTTTTAGCTTTCAGCATACAGACAGCAAAATTTTCCAGCACCACTTATTGAAGGGACTATCTTCCATAGGATGTGTTTGGCCCCTTTATCAAAGATAAGATGGCTGAGTGTGTTTATCAATGTAGTTGTATCTTCTAATCTACTCCATTAATCTTCAGGTTTCTTTTTATTCCAGTACCATACTAATTTTATTACAGTAGCTTTATAGTATAACTTAAAGTCAGGGATTGTGATGCCACTTGCCTTGTCTTTGTTGCTTAGAATTGCCTTTCTAATCTAGGTCTCTTCCCCATGCAGATGAATTTTAGGTGTAATTTCTCTAGATCTGTGAGATATGCTAGTGGTATTTTGATTGGAATTGCATTAATTCTGTATAATTTTGGGGGAATGGATATTTTCACAATGTTTGTTCTTCCTATCCAAGAACAAGGAATGTCTTTCCACTTTCTGAGATCCACTTTGGTTTCTTTTTTCAGAGTATTGTAATTTTCCTGAATAGATTGTTTGCTTCTTTTGTTATATTAATTCCTAAGTATTTCATTTCGTTGACTGCTATTGTAAAGAGTGTAGCTTCTATTATTACTTTCTCTGTGGTTTTGTTAGTGTATAGGAATGCTATTGATTTTTAAGTGTTAACTTTGTATCCAGCTACATTACTGAATTTATTTATTATACCTAGGAGTCTTTCAATGGAAATTTGGTGGTCTTCTATATAGAGTATCATGTCATCTACAAATAATGATAATTTAAATTCTTCTTTTCCTATTCTTAATCCTTTTATTTCTTTCTCTTGTCTAGTTGCTCTGTTTAGTATTTCCAACACTGTATTGATTAGAGTGGTGTTAATTTACATCCTTGTCTTGGTTCTGACTTTAGGGTAAAAGCTTCAGTTTATGGCCATTTAATATTATGCTGCCTGTTGGGTTGTCGTAGATAGCTTTTATCATACTGAGGTAAAGATCATCTGTTCCATATTTCTATAAGGTTTTTTTTATCATGAATAAGTATTGGACCTTTTCCAAAGCTTTTTCCATATCTGTAGAAATCATCATGTAGTTATTAATTTTGGTTTGATGACATGGTGGAATACATTTATTGATTTGAATACTTTGAACCATCCCTGCGTTTCTGGGATGAATCTCACTTGATCATGGTGTATAATCTTCTTGATGATTTGTTGCATTCTGTTTGCTAAAATTTTATAGAGAATTTTTGCATCTATGTTCATTAGGGAGATTGGCCTGTAGTTCTCTTGTTTGCTTGGATCTTTGGCAGGTTGTGGTATTAGAGTAATATCTTGTTCCAGGAATGAGTTAGTGAGAATTGCTTCCCTTTCAGTTTCATTGAAGAGTCTGGGGCTGGGGATTT